TACTGATTGGACTATGTATTCTCTGAGGGCAAGGAACTATATTTTATGCCTCTTTCTCTTCCACACAGTATCTAACAGAGATCTTTGCACATTTTGTCTCCAGATGCGTGCTCAGTTATGTCTGATTCTTTGTGACCCCATGGACTGTAGCCCGCCAGGCTCCTCTGTCTAGGGGATTCTCCAGGCAAAAATAGAGGAGTAAATTGCCATTTCCTCCTCCAGGGGCGCTTCCTGACCCAGGGATCAAACCCATGCCTCCTGTGTCTCCTGCATTGTAGGTGCATTCTTTACCACTTGCACATTTTAGGGTTTTAAATATTTAACAGTGGATTAGAAAATGCTACATATCTTCATTAGTGTCAGTAGTATGTTTAGAATATTTTAAGTCATTCTCTGTGTTTCTTGTTCTGCGCTTTGGAGTCAAGTGGGTTTGGGTTTACATTTCTGGTCTGCCAGGAACCAGCTGTGTGAACTCGGGCGGAAGACTTAGCTTTCGGCCTGACTTGCAGAGATGTTGTAAGAATTGCTGATTACGTGTTTATAGTGTCTGGCAGCCACTGTGGTTATTGTTATTATTTCACTTGAAAGGAGAAGCTTCCTGGCTTATAGCTCATTATTCCACAGCGGAGAGCTCTTATATTTTCTGGAACTGCATTTCCATTTGGGAGTTTAAGCTTCTGTTTACTTATGGCTGGCTTCAGTGGTTGGGGGGCAAGAAGGTTTGACCTGAACCTTGAAAGATAAGTAGAAGAGGCTTAAAAAGCAGAAATGGATGGAAAAGCAGTTGCAGACAGAAGGAGCAGCACGCGCACAGACTCAGTGGCGCGAGGAGGGTGACCTCGGAGAAGTCGCTCATGACTGGGATGGGAGTGCCCCTGGTGGGGGGCACACATGGGCAGGAGCCCGGCCCTCAGAGGCATGGCCCGAGATGCTAGATTTGGGCTCTAGGAACATCGTCAGATGGGTATTGTAGGGAAGTTCTAGTCTTCATTAATTTCCTGTAAGGATTCGAGGAGTCTCTGAACAAAAAGTTTTTAAATTAGATTAATGGACTTTGAGCCAGGTGTAGGGGACAGGAAGAGACCATTTTCCCAGCATGTGATGTCTGACTGTACTTGGAGAAACAACCCACTGGGCCATGGTTGGACTGGGGTGTGTATAGCCCATCCACCCCGTGCCTCCATCGCATCCACAGCTCAGCGTGCTGAGACAGCCGGGACTGTTCGGTCCTGGGACTTCTGCCTCAGGGTCTCCTCCGTAGGTGGGATCCACGGCTTCTTGGGACATCGACCACTGCCCATGAATGCCAGCCAGCTGCTGCGTATGTCTCTTCCGTCTGTCCTAGTGGAACGTGCCCCCAGCCAGGTGTTTTCAACAGCCCTGAGATACACGAGCAGCGCTCGGCGAAAAGGGCGCCAGGCGTCCTGGGGTCTGTTCTGGCTTTGTTCTCCGTCGCACCAGCCAGGCCCGGGGCCCGGTCTCTGGGGTCCGGCCTCTGTCCCTGCCTCTGCCTGCCTTCAAGAGCGGGTCAGACTCAGGGTTCCCGGACGTCTGCCATCGAGCTGGACGCGCCTGGCGGTGGCCCAGCGGCTCTGCCCCCCCAGGCCCCAGGCCCCCGGCCCCCTGTCCCCCGGCCCCCCGTCCCCCGGCCCCCCGTCCCCAGGCCCCCCGTCCCCCGGCCCCCCGTCCCCCGGCCCCCCGTCCCCGGCCCCCCGGCCCCGGCCCCCCGGCCCCGGCCCCCCCATCCCCGGCCCCTCTGCCGCCCCAGCTTCTCCCTCACACTCCTCTCCTTTCCTCCCCGTCCAGGTGCCTTTCCCGTCACTTGGGCTCAGCAGTTGTACACTGTTCTTCCTGATGGGTTCTCTGAAATCCAGCCCACACCTTTCCAACTCCACATCCTGCATCAAGTGTTTGAAAGCTGTTATTTCATGTTAATTAGAAGTTCTTTTTCCGCCAAGAAGCCTTGCACAGAACTGCTCTCCCAAGCTGTGGCCTAGAGTCAGCTCTGGTGTCCTGTACAGTTACAGGAGCTGTGATAACTGCTCTCAGAGCCCCAGCTGCTTGCTGGGTGGGGGAACCTTCCCCCCCAGTCCTGTCCCCCGTGGGCAGACCCGCTTTGAGCCTGGCTCACTCAGAGGACCTGGGGGCCTGAGAGAACGCACCGTGGTCCCGGCGGGGTGGCCCACTGGCCCAAACGGCGTGGTGCCCAGCCATCACCCGTGGGGTCTCTGGCGTCCGAGCAGGTCTCCCCCACATGCTGACTGGTGTCTGCTCAGCAGCCCTCTTCCTGTTACACGTCTCCCAGGTGATCTGGGCGTCCCTGCTGGCTCCGTGGTAAAGAATCCGCCTGCGATGCAGGAGACCAGGGTTCCACCCCTGGGTCAGGAAGATCCCCTGGAGGAGGGCGTGGCAACCCCCTCCAGTGCTCTCGCCTGGAGAAGCCCTGGGCAGAGGGGCCTGGCGGGCTACAGTCCCTGGGGTTGCAAAGAGTCAGACACGACTGAGCGACTCACATTTTCACCTTCACTTTTAACACTTTCTGGTGAAAAAGTGCTCCCACTGCCTTCTAGACTCATGAAGACACGCGTGAAGTCAACTTCTGCCTCCTTAAAAACCCCTCAAGACAGCCTGAGCAGCTGCCGTTCCCTGCAGGCAGTCCTGGAAGTGCCTGGGAGTGTCACTTCTTGAGGTGTTTTTGAGCCGAAGCCAAGCCCTGTTCCGCATCTGGCCTCGCTCTCTCTGCCCGCCCGCTGGTAGGCCAGGCCCCGCCGCCAGCGTCCCTGGCCTGCTGTTCTCCCCCCCCGCCAGCTTCTGCAGCCCCGGGCTTGAGGGGCCGCAGCCCAGACCCCCGGGGGCCGCCAGCGCCTGCTCGGGCATCCAGAGTCCGTTCAGAGGGAGGGGATGGTGCCAAGCCACCCCGAGCTCGCGTGGTGCCTCTCAGGACCAGCCTTATTCTGCCTCTCATAGGGAAAAGAGACTGTCCCCCTCAGCAGTGCCTGACTTCAAATGCATGGTCCATAGTGAGGAATTCTCCTATAGGTCTAACTTTAATCACTAGAAACGTTTTTCTTTATCTTCTGTGATTTAGAGAGAAAATGCTGATTTGAAACCTGTTGACCTCACAGTGCTACGCACTGTGGAAGGGAGGCCAGAGAGAGACACTAGGATTTTCTTGTTGAAGGGAGATAAACCCCACCGACCGAGAGGGTCCTTACAACGGTGACACTGAGATGCTCCGTGAAGGGCCGAGCAAGGACACACAGAAGACTTTATAAGCAGGGGCTCCTCCCCGTCGCTGTCGTCTTTTCATTAACAACAAACACCATCTCACAAGGACTGGTGGTGCTAATGGTAAAGAACCTGGCTGCCAATGCAGGAGATGCAAGAGACGCAGGTGTGATCCCTCAATCGGGAAGATCCCCTGGAGGAGGAAATGACAATGCACTCCAGGATTCTTGCCTAGAAAATCCCATGGACCGAGGAGCCTGCGGGCTACAGTCCATGGGGTCGCAGTGAGTCGGACAGGACTGAAGTGACTTAGCACACCTATGGTGCACACGGACTAAGATAAAGGTGTGATTAAGTGGTATCCGTGGGAGACTTGTTTGATGAGATGGGGTTTTAGCTGAATTTACGAGGAATCAACGAGAGACGGGGATTAGTAGAGACGAAGATTGAGAACACGGCATGTACTCTTAGAGTTAGGATAAAAACACAGACTTTGGTGAATCACCTGGGGCTTCCCAGGTGGCTCAGTGGTAAAAGAATCCGCTAGCAACGCAGGAGACAGGAGTCCAATCCCTGGGCTGGAAAGATCTCTTGGAGAAGGAAATGGCAATCCATTCATGTATTCATGCCTGAAAAATCCCATGGAGAGAGGAGCCTGGCAGGCTACGGTCCATCGGCAGACACGACTGAGCGCACACGCGTGCTCTCCACAGTGAATTGTGTTGGCAGGAGTAAAGAGCCCAGTGGAAACCACGGCACCAAGTGGGATGGTGACATAGGGCGGGCAGTGGGCAGAGTCTTAAAGGACTCGATAAGGAATTTTGACTTGTCATTACAGTCGGTAAGGAATCGTTGTAGTTTCTTGAGCTGGGAATGAGAATGATTTTTAGATATGACTTCTTTATATATGATTTCTCAGAGCCGGGAAAGTGAGAGGACAGACGACCATCAGGACGGAACCTGGGTTCAGGCTTCACAAGCGCAGTGGTGATGAGCCCAGGCGCCCAGGGAGCTGATGCCAGAGGAATCAGCAGATTGTGCACGCAGAGAAACTCTGAGAGGCCAGGAAAGGGAGAAGGGGCCACACCGGGTGCCCTGGACGGAGCCCTGGGCAGCGCCAAAAACGGGGAGACAGAGTCAGCGATTGTGGCTGACTTGGTGAGGTCCTCGCCCCTTCAGAGCAGGGCTGGAGCGACCACAGAGGGGAAGGCCTTAGCCCCAGCCCCGCTTTCCATGAGCCCTCCGTCTAAGCTGTCATCTCCTTCATGCAATGACGATCACTGTGTAAGGTTACTGATGGATATTTACATCAACCGAGTCACATCGCGTGTAGTTTTGTAAATAAACCAAAATTCACTTTTGATGGATTTTTGAGGTTTTGCAGATAAGTTGGTTGTGCTCTAAAAGGCGCTCTCTTAGTAAAATCTCGTGTCCTGAGTGAGATTAGCCGCTCCGATGCTTCACCTGACCACCCGTGGCGGCGCTGTGCCGGCATCGCCGTGGTGGTGAGACTCCGGCAAGGCCGGATCCTGCCCCGTGAGCTCCGCAGTCCTTGGCCGCCGCCGCCGCCTCCCTCGGGTCCAGCCTTTGGACGCCCCCTTTCTGTAGGGTGGCCAGAAAGCCTGCTCCGGTTTCTTAGGCGAAAACCCGAACGGACGTTTGGACACTGGACGTCGTGGCCAGCCAGCAGGGTCCCGCAGAGCTCCCGGCCACTGCCGTCCTGCCCGGGGCGCTGGTCTGAGCTGTGTCCCCCCCTCTGTCTCCCCACGCAGACTGCTGTTTTCCAAAGTGAAGCTGGAGTCCCTCTCCCGGGGCCCGGACGAGGCGCTCCTCACGTGTAAGCACATGTTACAGATCTGGAAATCCTGCTACAACCTGACCAACCCCAGGTAAGAGGCGGCCGTTGTGTGGGCACCGCGTGGCGCCCGCCGTTCCGCCGTCCCCGCCCGGCGTCTAGCGGGACAGACTCTAGCCCCGTGCACCCCCGGGCCCGCGGTGGAGCCTCACGCTCCATCTTTAAGGGCACTTTCTCCTAGCGTCGGATGAATCCGCCAAGTCATGGGTTTCTTATGCTTTTGCCGCCACGGTGGCCGGCTAGGCTCAATCCTGATCATCTCCTTCTGCTTTCGCTCAGCCAGTCATTTACATAATTCCTTTGGCGCGTCTTACCGTCTTGCTAGTGATTTGTGGATAGACTAGTCAATTATATATTCCAGATGGTGTTCTAACGGTATTATTTAAAAGACCTGAGTGGATAACAGGCCACATCCTACCAGCGAGAGTAGAAATTGCTACTGGGGTGATAAAGTGTAATTTTCAAGAAGCTAAAATCATGACTCAAGCAAATATACAGGAAGCGTGTATCAAAGGTTTTATTTATCTCATTAACTAATGAAGGAAGCAGTAAACTGTTAAGACCCGTTCAAAGAAGAATTTGAAAACTAGATATGCTGAAATGAATTTGCAAATAAATATTAAAACAGTAACATCATACAGGACAATGAAACGTATTGTTTGGGGTTGTCTTATCTAAAGACATCGATTGTATCTCAACCAGACAAAATTGGTAGGTTTTCCGCCGGGCAACTCTGCCCCCCAGAGCTGTGAAACGGCCTGATCAGTCCCGGTCAGTCAAAGCCCCACGCCGCACGGGCAGATTCTGTGGGGGATGTCCGCTAGGCAGCCCACTAGTCCTCTCCCAGTACATCCCCGAAAAGCATCATCTTCAACTCTTGAGCGGTTGTTCCCAGCAAATGTCCAGATTACAAAGTGTGCCCAGACCTGTGAAGGAAGTGATTTAAGGAAAAGGGGGCCTGGTGATTCAGGTGAATTCAGACAACCACTCACACACTCGGAATATGTTCAGGTTTGCAGCAGGATGTATGGATAGCCTGCCTTCTACTCTTAGGAATCAGGAGTCTGAAGTGTGTAAGTCATGCATGTGTTCAGGGTCCGGCCCAGCCCTGGGGAGGCCGGCGGCGGGAGGGTGTGTGGGCTCAGGCGGGGCTTCCACAAGGACAGTGGTGATGGGACTGGGGGCCAAGCGACATCAGGAGAGTCTGGGGCGACTCCACGGGAGAGAGAGGGAGATGGGGCCAAGCTTCGTGCTTCGAAGGGCTGGCGGAGCACACAGCCGCTGGTGTGAGAGAAACAGGGAGAGGTGGTCAGTAGCTGGGCAGTTAGTAAAGCCTTCGACCCTGCAGAGCAGGGCTGAGGAGGTGAAGGAGGAGCGGGCCTAGCTTACGGGCCCTGCCTCATGAGCAGGTGCAGGCAGGGAGGCCCCCATGCCCATCTCCCCTCGGGGAGAAGACACGCATGACACGGGCCTCCTCCCTTCTGTGGGTATGTTCTAGTGACAAAGATCACGCTAGTTTTTAGAGAATTCTACCTTCTCAGTCTGTAGGCAGCAACAGGAAGCGTCCACACTTCTGTCCCCAAAGCCCTGACTCCAGTCTCCCGGCGGCAGCAGGATTCGGGGAGCGGGGAGGGTCTTTGCCACGAGCCGGGCCACAGGCGACACTGCGGAGCTGACTGCTTCCCACTGGACTCATGCCTTTGTGCCCCCCTAGAAATGAGAAGAGAAATCCACCAGCTCTCGCGTTGCCAAATTTCCCCCTTTCTCCACACCTCTCCCACCTCCCCACATTTCCTCCCACGTAGCAACCAAGAATATTGAATGTGAGGAGAAAAAAAAAAGACAGCAGAATCAGAAAGCTCTTTAAAAATACTTCACCAAATGCCTGGGCTGTGGGCACCCTTCCTCCGTCTCCCGGAGGGTCTTCAGGCCGGCGCAGGGTGGAGCCTGGCTCTGGGCAGAGAGGACGGGGCAGGAGGGTGGGGGTGCCCAGGACCGGAGGGTGGGGGTGCCCAGGACCCTCGGCTTCTCCCGCGGCCTCGGGGAGGGGCGGCAGGCCACCAGCGCCTGCCTAAGGCGCTTCCTGCCGGCTCTTGGAACTGCGTTTTCTCTGGGGTACAAATGAAGCGTTTCTCCTGTGGCCCTCCCCGCTGTGCAGATTTAGACGCCCTCCCCGCACGGTCGGGGGGCACGGCCCGGGCCCAGAGCAGCAGGGACAGCGCCCCGCGGTCCCCAGATCAGGGCCGCTCTGGGCCCGGCAGCCCCCAGTCGGGTCACACAGCGTTCTAGAAAAGGCCAGAGGCACATGAGCAGGTTGCTGAGAAGTGGCCCTGCCTGGGAAGCAGAAAGCCCCCCGGCAGGAGGAGGCTGGCTTCCGGCTGCAGAAGGCCCTTGCCGACAGGGCTCAGGCACCCCTGTGTCTCAGGTGTTGCATGGTGGGGGGGCGGCCTCCGCTCACCCTTGGGGTCTCCCCCCTGCTCCCACCCCCACAGCCCCCCCGGGGGCTGGCACAGGCTCCAGAGCAGGGAACACAGGGGCACAGAGGAGGACCCCGGGGCATCGCAGGGCCAGCCGAGGCCGGACCTCACTGCGTGTTCTCTGCAACCCGCCCCTCCTTTTGACTCTGGCTTGAGGGAGAGCCATCCCGGGGCCAAGACCACATCCCTGCTGTGAGCACAGGCTGGGGGCGTCCTCCTGGGCGTGCGTGTGGCGGACTGCCGCTCGCTGCAGGAGCCTGGGGGGGCCTCCCGAGGCCTGCAGTTGCACTTGCCTCTGGTGCAGAAGTCCACCCCACAGTCCACCCCTTCTCTCGGGGCCGCACACAGCTCTGGCTGTGCTTGCGCGGGTCACTGGCCATTCAAGACCGTGTAACTTCGGCCAGAGCCTCGCCAGACGGTCCAGCAGGCTCCCCGCATGGAAGCACTTCCCCTTCTCTATGCCGCCAGGCCAGGCTGTTGAAAGGTTCTTCTCCAGCCCTGTCTCAGCCTTGCAGGAGAGCTACTGTTCGTTCCACTTTATAGAGAATAAAAGTGAAGCTACGTGAGGTTACAGATCTTGCCCTAGTTTTCTCAGCTAAACAACTATTCCAATCCAAACAACTTTGATTCAATCCCAGGTCTGCTGAACATCAAGGCTGTCTCCACCGCCTGTGCGCCTCTCTGAGTTGACAGCCAGCATCTTTGCCTTTAGTTTTTATTATTAACCACTCTTCTCCCTCTTGTCACCACTGCTTGGACCATCCATCTTGTAGGCACATGATTGGAAGAAAATTTTTTCTTCCTAAGTCCCATTTCAATCACATTAATGCATAGCATATCAATATTAAAAGGAAAAAAAGACAAGTTATTTGCCGCAACCTCAGCTGGGAATGGGAAATCCCATTTCATGCTAATCACTTCAGTCGCTCAGTCGCGTCTGACTCTTTGTGACCCCATGGACTGCAGCATGCCAGGCTTCCCTGTCCATCACCAGCTCCTGAAGTTTGCTCAAACTCTTGTCAATCAAGTCGGTGATGCCATCCAAACGTCTCATCCTCTGTCATCCCCTTCTCCTCCCACCTTCAATCTTTTCCAGCATCAGGGTCTTTTCAAATTTGTCTGTTCTTTACATCAGGTGGCCAAAGTATTAGAGTCTCAGCTTCAGCATCAGTCCTTCCAATGAACACCCGGGCCTGATCTCCTTTAGATGGACTGGTTGGATCTCCTTGCAGTCCAAGGGACTCTCAAGAGTCTTCTCCAACACCACAGTTCAAAAGCATCAATTCTTCGGTGCTCAGCTTTCTTTATAGTCTAGCTCTCACATCCATACATGACTATTGGAAAAACCATAGCCTTGACTAGATGGACCTTTGTTAGAAAAATAATGTTTCTGCTTTTTAATATGCTATCTAGGTTTCTCATAGCTTTTCTTCCAGGGAGCAAGCATCTTTTAATTTCATGGCTGCAGTTACCATCTGTAGTGATTTTGGAGCCCCCAAAATAAAATATCTCACTGTTTCCATTGTTTCACCATCTATTTGCCATGAAGTGACAGGACCAAATGCCATGATCTTAGTTTTCTGAATGCTGAGTTTTAAGCCAGATTTTCCACTCTCCTCTTTCACTTTCATCAATAGGCTCCTTAGTTCTTCACTTTCTGCCGTAAGGGTGGTGTTATCTGCATATCTGAGGTTATTGATATTTCTCCCGGTAATCTTGATTCTGCTTGTGCTTCATCCAGTCTGGCATTTTGCATGATGTACTCTGCATATAAGTTAAATAAGCAGGGTGACAATATACAGCCTTGACGTACTCCTTTCCTGATTTGGAACCAGTTTGTTGTTCCATGTCTGTTTCTAACTGATTTCTCAGGAGGCAGATAAGATGGTCTGGTATTCCCATCTCTTTCAGAATTTTCCACTGTTTATTGTGATCCACACAGTCAGAGGCTTTGGCATAGTCAATAAAGCAGAAATAGATGTTTTTCTGGAGCTCTCTTGCTCTTTCAATGATCCAATGGATGTTGGCAATTTGATCTCTGGTTCCTTCTAAATCCAGCTTGAACATCTGGAAGTTCACATATTGTTGAAGCTTAGCTTGGAGAATTTTGAGTATTACTTTGCTAGCATGTGAGATGAGTGCGCAACAACTACCGCAGTTGTGCGGTAGTTAGAACATTCTTTGGCATTGCCTTTCTTTGGGATTGGAATGAAAACTGACCTTTTCCAGTCCTGTGGCCACTGCTGAGTTTTCCAAATTTGCTGGCATATTGAGTGCAGCACTTTCACAGCACCATCTTTTAGGATTTGGAATAGCTCAGCTGGAATTCCATCACCTCCACTAGCTTTGTTCGTAGTGGTGCTTCCTAAGGCCCACTTGACTTAGCATTCCAGGATGTCTGGCTCTAGGTGAGTGATCACACCATCGTGGTTACGTGGGTCGTGAGATCTTTTTTGTGTGGTTCTTCTGTGTATTCTTGCCACCTCTTCTTAATGCTAACAGTCACCAGGATTTTGGAGGAACTTTTCTTTTAGCAAAGTGTGCTCTCACTCATCTTCAGAGCAGTCCCATGAAACGGGCAAATGTTGTGTTCTGTCAGACCCTTTTTACTGATGAGAAAGTTGAGTTCAGGAGTGAAGGGAGCTTCTCTTGTTTGTGTGACCCTGCCTTAAGACGCCTGGGAAATGCTACAGTGTCCTCTCCAGAGCCCCCCCGTTACATCCAGTGTTTATCGTGTACTCGGCACTCTCAGAGCCAGGAAGGGACACAGCTGTGATGAACTCTAGGATTCCGGCTCCCAGTCCCCCACCAGCTTTCCTCTTGCTGTTGGAGAATTTCCAAGAGAAGTTCCTGGTTTCCAGAACAGCTTAACCGTCAGTAGAGTTTACTCTGGATTTTCAGCCCTGATTTAGGGGAACAGGAATTACCGCATGTGTCCATCTCCATGTGTGGATTTCTGCAGCTTATGTGCAGTGGATTTGAGGCTCCTTCCAGCTTCCTTTCCCTAAAACTCTACTGACACCACTGCCGGGAATGGTTTTCCCTTCCTTTCTGCCCGCCTCCTTGGAAGGGTGTCCTGGCACCTAAGGGCAAGACAGAGAGGAAGGGAGGTGACAGGTCTATCGGGGGGGTGGTCCATAGAGGCTCCCAAGCAGATGTGTCCCAGAGGGAGAGGGGGCTTGTGGGGGGACAGGGAACTCGAGGGCTGGCCAGGCCTCCCCGGCCCCTGCTCCCTCCTCCTGTGGCTCACGGTGAAGGCAGGGTCTGCAGCACATAAGCGAAGAACTGAAACCTGCTTGAAGCATCCAGTGGGATTCTCAGTCACTAAGTCAGGGTGGAAACAAACGCGTCTCCATTCAGAGTAGTTATTGTTGCTTATATACCGCGGAGATAAAGGAAGGAATATTACCATACAGAGTTTCTCAGCTGGTGGGAGAGAAACAGGTCAACAGGTCCTGTGTCCTTACTGGGTGATCTTCATAAGCCGAGATTTTGTCTTAGCTGGGGTTTCTGACACCTGGAGTCGGAGGTCCTTACCTCAGCTTCCCCACACCTGCCATCACGTGAACCCAGAGGCACGTTTGCAGGCACAGTACTTGTGTGCCCAGAAGTTGGAACTCTTCTGAATGCTCTGTCTGCATGACCTCAGTTCAGCCTGACTCGTGCGTATGTAGGAAGACAATCTTCATCCTCATCTCACAGGGACGTCACTGAAGCACGCAGGAAGTGGCCTTGCTGGAAGTGACCTACCATCAGGGACAGATGTAGGAAAGAACCCGGCCTCCTGGCCCGGCTGGGTTCCAGGACGCAACACGACACGCAGCAGCCAGCCCTGTGCTCTGAAACTTGGTGCAGTGAGAAGCCTGGGGCAGACAGTTCCCATCCTCTTACCAAGGTCCAGGTCACTGGAAACCTAGGCACGTCCTTCCCTTGCAATTCCAGCGCCTCACTGTGTGTCCTGGAATCTCCAAGGTGATGAAAAACGCCACTATGTTTTGAGATCACATCTTGCCAAAACTCCTAGGTGGGGACCTGTTGCAACATTCAGATAATTAACTCTTTGTCAAATTTTTATAGTATTTTTGTAATTATATTAAAAATACATACCTGAACAGAACAATGCTAGAAACATTCAGTTGGTAATGTGATTAATGCAAATTTGCAGACTTTCATGCTGTCTTCTGCTCAGAGACATTTATTGTTTCTCAGACATGGAAATAACTAATAGAATAGTTTCCAAAAAACATGTATCCAGTGATGTCATAAGTATAGGCTGACAAACAGTCTGTACTGAAGCAAGTTTCCTTCTGTTTCCTGTGGATTTCTCTAACTACATCACCGGACGTGGAAATTACAGCCTGCAAACCATATTAAGTTTCATAGCAAATCTTGTTTGTACCACTTTTAGCAGCAGCTGCAGAGAGGAAGGAAATCGTGTCCCTTTATTGTAGAAGTTGAATTTCTTGACAATAACAACTAAAAAAAAAAATCATCCGTAGAGCCCCCAGATTAAAAAAAGAAAAGAATGGATTGGAAGAAAAGCATTAGACTCAAACCTCAAGAGACAGATGTGCATCTTTGCTAGAGTATCGTGATGGAGGAAAAAAGCAGGCAGTTGTTTTCATTGTTTTTGCTTACAGGCTTCTGAGAATTAGAGGCGGGACAGTGTGAGCTAAGGTCCGTGAATGAACGGTGTTTCACTCCCGTTTGGCCTGTGTGGTCTCCTTGTGACTCACCTGAGGAGTGGCCAGTCCCGTTTCGCAGGAGCAGCCTGCGGGGGGTCGGTGCGGGACGCTGGCTGGGAGCGCCAGCCGGGAGGCTGCTGGCAGAACCCGAGGTGCCTCCCTGAGGCTGTCCTCTCCTGTTCAGGAGCGCGGGCCGGGGGCTCTCTGCCAGCCCCCGGCCCGCGTGCAGCCTCACACCGCCTCGCCCTCGTTCATTAGATAGAGGTCTCTACCCATCATTGATCGTACAGGCTTGTTCTCGGGACCCAAACGAGGCCGTGGCTGTAATCAGCCTTTGAAAAGTAAGGCCCAGTGGTTCTTGAATTCGGGTTCGCATTGGAACCAACGGGGAAGCTTTGACCAGCACTTCTGATCTGTTGGGCTAGGCAGGACCCGGGCCTCAGCGGTTTATTGAGATGCCCTGGGTGGTCTTTCTGGGACGCCACCGCCTGGAAGCACGCGTGCCAAGCGCGGGTTCTGGGAGGCAACAGGAGGACGGCGCGCTCACGGGCCGGGCCAGTGAGCCTGGTGCCCAGCGGTGCGTCCCGCGGCGGGGAGACGCTGGCCCCACGTTTCCATCTCCCGCACTAGCTCAGGCCTGCAGGTGCAGTTTAAGCCGCGCTGGGGATACGGATGCTGAAAGGAAGCCAGCCCAGGGAAAGCTGGACGCGTGGTGACAGGTGACCAGGTGCCAAAGAACGTCAGAAATGCGTTTTAGGGGTGGCGATCGGGCGCTTCTGTTTCCTCCCCCCACCCACCCTCCCAGTGACTGACCTTTGCAGCTGTGTTTTGCAGTGATTCTGGACGTGGAAGCAGCCTCTTAGATAGAACCATTGCTGACAGACGACAGCTTAATACAATTACTTTGCCAGACTTCAGCGATCCCGAGACAGGTGAGACTGAAAGGCCAGCGGGGCGGACGTGGCGTCAACCAGAACGGGGCGGGGTCCGGCCCCGAGCCCCGCGGGGCCCAGGGTGGGAAGGCGTCCCCAGGGAAACGGGCTCACCTCCCACCTGTCGGGCCTTTCCCCGTGTCTTTTTCAAGCCTGTGTTCACGGTGGGGGCCGTCCTATTCCTTGCCAACACAACTCTTTGAAATCTTTCTATTTTTCCCCTTGCTCTTGGAGCCGAAAATTCGAAACTAAAATTAGACTCTTCCCATCCCCTCCGAGCGTCCCTCGGCTTCTGTGTTTCTTTGTCTCTCTTTAGATTTCAGACTTGCTGAAATCAAGGTTTCGGTGTCTCATCTGTGGCACGCATGGACACACATCCACCCTGCAAATAACCCCTGCGAGGGGCAGCTGGGTTCTGAGCCTCCGAGTCTACTGACCCCGAGAGGAGGCCTGACGCATTTCCTGCCTCTCTGCAGATATTAGCACGTCAGTTCGCATCTGTGTTTCTACAGTTGCCTAAGTACAGGGGGGTAGAGATACCTCTGTCATCTCCAGAAGTGCAGACGGGTAGTTTTGGATAGCAATACTGACATCTCAGGGGGCCGTTTGGAGGACTCAACGGACCCACGGAGTATTAAGACATGCCCAGCTGTGAGCCTCAGAGGCAGTCCCAGAGTGTCGTTGGGAGCAGGTTCTGCAGCCTCCCCACCACCCGCACGGGGCTCTATGTCAGGCTTCGTCCACCTCCGGGCGCCCCAGCCTCCTGGGGGTTGCCCTCACGAGAGGAGCCTCCCGGCCCCGGGTCCTGACCCAGCCCCTCCAAAGAGCCAGAGCGCAGCTGAGGCCTCCTCGGGGAGTCAGCCCAGAGAGTCTCTCCCCGGGGACGGGAGCCGGGCGCAGTCCTCGCCCGAGCTGTTCTCGCAGCTGCCCGCCTTGCCCGGCTAGGCCCCCTTCCCAGACCTCAAGTCAGCTCAGGAAGCCTGATCGCAGGGCCCTGGGGCTCCCCGGTCAGGAGAGCGCTGGGAGCAGCAGGAATTTAAGTCAGTGCCCTTTACCAGCCGCTGCTCCAAGTGCGGGCTAGGAAGGCCGCAGGGAAACTCATCCCTGGAGTGCCTGGACCCGGGCTGAGGGCCAGTCACTGGAGGGCTTAGGTGTGAACCAGGCCGACTCTGAGCTGAGCTCTGCTCACGGTCCAGCCCCACTGGAGGGATGTGCGTGACCCCTCGCTGCAGAAAAGGGAAGGTCAGGCTCTTAGGCTCCGCGAGGCGAGGCTCGGACCTCCAGGGAGAGAAGACAGGGAGGTGATTCTCGCCAGCTCCTAGCAGCTGCCACCAGGGGCCTCCTCCCCACCCAGGACCCTGCAAGGAGCCTGTTACTGAAGTCAGACCCCCTGTCCTTCCAGCTGCTCAGGGTCTTCATTTGCCCGGAGGTCCCCCAAATTTCATCTACATCACAATGCAAACAGGCAGGAGAAAATGAGTGAGGCCCCTGAGGTTCCTTCTCCCCGTTGCCCCAGGAACATTCCCCGCTCGGGCCCTCAGGAGGCTCCTCGGAGGAGGAAACCTCAGGTGCCATAGCATCCAGGCGAGGTGTGGCTCGTGCCCCGCGGGCGTGGCCGGCCTTGTCCGCCGTGGGCACCGCTGTCCCTGAATCCCAAGCCAGGTGGGCTCCACACTGCCGGGGCACAGGCTCCCAGGTGCTGGCCAGCGGCCGTGTTATTGTGTTGTGGTTTGCCACATGAGCCCCTCTAAGACCCTTCTCACCCGCCCTGCCCGGGAGCCCCACATCGTTGGTTTTAGCACCACCAGCAGTTACCCGGGAGGCTAGGGAGCCGGAAAAATGGAAGGCCACATTAGCAGACCTTGTCAGTGGCAGACTGGTCATAAATGATGGCAGAACATTCTGAGATGATCCTTAAATCCAAGAGACTTAAAAAACCTTAAATTAGACAGACTCTGCTATAAATGGAAAAGGTGCCTCCGTCTTGATGAATAAAGGGCAGTTCTGTACCGCTGGGCCCGTGGGCAGTTCCAGGAGGGCAGCGGTGCCTATTGGTGCCTCTGTGTGGACCCCTGTCTCCAGAATGACCCACAGATTTAGCTTAAGCTCTGATTATGAAGGTTCGGTAGAGATGCTCTGCTTCCTCCCTGCTCTTCTGCCTTGCTTTTCCTAAAGATGACCATTTTTATTAGCTTTTGGTTTTCCCTTCCAAGCAAATAAGCGTAGATCTTATTTACCCCGTCCCTTGACTTGAAAATAGCAGACTGTGTCTGGACTGCTCGGCCCCCCTGGGGGTCCCTTCACACGTCGCCCTCTCCCCCTGCCTCTGTCAGCGCAGAGTGTCCTGGGGCTTTTTTATAGCCCCACGGTCAGTGGCTTTTCTAAGTGCCCCGAAGGACCCAAGCCTCTACCAGGGGCGCAGTGGGTGAAGACGCGTGCCCTGCACAGAGGCAGCCTCCCACGGTCACAGCGCCACCCACCCCGTCACCGCGGGGCAGGAGACCCCCTTCTCAAAGCCACAGGCCCTGTTTTGTTTTCCAGAGCTAAAATTTATTTTCCCTTTATTTTTTAAAATTTTCTATTGTGGAAAAACTTCAAATATGCCCACATAGAGATACTAATGCCATGAGTCCGCATGTACCTACCACCAGTCTCCAATTCCGGTTCTTTTTTCCTTTATCTCTGCTGTCCAACACTTAGTTTTTGTAAGGTATTTTGAGGCAGATCTCAGATATCATATTTTGCCTGTTAAAATTTCAATATATGTGTCAAACAGATAAGAGCTCTTTAAAAATCCAGCCAAGGTACCCTCATTATGCATCTGGGTCATGAGGCTCAGTTCCCACCCCTGCAGTTGTCCAGATGCGGATCTGAACCATGACGGGAGGGGAGCGCAAGTCTCGAAGCCTCGGACTGGCCGGGTCCACTGTGGCCAGAGGGTGGACGCTGGCTTTCTTAAACGGGTGTGGCAGAGTGAAACAGAACCGTGGAGAATCTGCCTTCCCTGCTAACATCTACTCTCAGCCCCCTCCTCTCCCCACCCCCGCCTCTGTCGTCCCGTAGGTCCTAGCCATCAAAAGAGACTCAATGGAATGACAGTCTTTTAACTCTGAAGCTATGAGTCATTGTCTTTCCTTTGGAATAAGTTAGTTCCTTAAATAGAGGATGAAAAAAATTTTTTTTCTTCCTTTTGCCTTCAAAACAGGATGTGGAGTAAGGGGATTTAGCTTTAATCATTGGAGGATATTGCCAGACACCTATCCAAAGTAAAATGATTCTTTCACCTTGAAAGTTTGCCCCATTTTGTCCGGGAAAGTTTTTAATTCTCATGGTGGCGGTTCTCCCTCCTGTGGTGTGTCTCTCCAGCTGAAGTCGGGAGGCCACCGCCCCCAACCGTGGCCCAGTCTAGCGAGCTTACACTCCATTGCCACAATGCTGGGACCTGGCCCGTGGTTGACCCTCAATAGCTGCACCTAGCAAAACCTTAGTTTTCAAGTAAATTTTATATAAGTGCTTCTCATAAAAAGCAAATCAGGAAAAGTCAAGTTCTAATCCTTTCCAATTGAAAAGCAAATAGTTTCTTTCCCTCTAGACTGTTGCGGATATTATAGGTTAAAGACGTATTATTTTCAGTGGATCATACTGCTGAATCTGTGCCCAGGTAAATCTGAGTTATTTTTATTCCATGGTGTTGTTGCAGAACAAATAACAACCAGTGGAAAAACAGCAAATTTGTTTTCTTCGAAAAGCACTTGTATTCTATTGTCAAGTAGAGGAATGATTGTGTATTACATGACCTCATTTTCTTTGCAGCGTATGTGAGTATATTAAAAGCTAGTTTATTTTTTTTCTTTGTGTTTCTGAAGTTTTTCTGCCTTTATCCTTTTTTTCTCTTTCACTTTTTTAGTGTCAGATTCCTCCTCCTCTCTTTCAAGAAGCGAGTCTCCTCTCCACCTGTCTGTGTCTTCTCATCTCCACTCTCACCCCAAACCCGATACCTTTGTGTGGCCCCCAGCTGCACGCTCAGTCAGTGACCCGGGCCCCCGCCAGGAAGCCTCTCTGTGTAAACGTGGTTTATGTTTCTTTTTGTTCCTTTCTTGTTAGACCTGCTTCATTTGCCTGATGTTTTATTTTCTGATAATCTTCCTAACTGATAAGCTGGCTAGCAAACTCCATCCAATTCAACTGACAGAAAATCTTGCTAGTTTGAAAACCCAGACGCTGCCTGGGGCAGAAGACAGTGTTGCTGAGTTCCACCCTTCCCTCCAAAAAGCAGAGGAAACCTGTTTTGAGCAGAATCAACAGAAGCTTTTCTAGAACACTGCTTCTGGCTCTTGGGCACTCCTGTGATTTCCTGGAGTTGATATCAATGCATAAAGATCCTATTTTCTTAAAAAAGACAAACTAGAACATTCCTAATTATTTCCAGTTTTCAATTTAGAAATGAATTCAACAAGTATGTCATAATCAAGGTCGTATTCTAAAGATATCGGTCATCTGCCTTTTAAATATGTGGTTCTCAGAGCTTATGGTGTGCTGCAGTCACCCAGAGAGCTTTGAAAACTGCAGATTCCATGGGTCCGACCCCCAGAGTTTACGATTCAGGAGGCCTGAGCTGGGGCTCAAGAATATGCATTTATGAAATACCTTCTCATGATTCCACTGCCAGTGGGTTGTGTCCTGCATTTTGGAAAACAAGGCTATAAATTGTTTTTCATTTCAGGGAAAGAAAATGTAGGGCTTGTGTCATGAATCTAGGCAGGGAAATTGAACAGTGTTTTAATCTAATCTTGCTTTTAAATAATAGGGACATTTGAAAGTCTGATTTGGGTCCTGTCAATTTAAAAAAAAAAGATCCCTGTATTAAAATGAGACACTGGTTGATAAAGTCCTTAAATGGCACCTAAATGTGGGTCTCACCAGGAGATCCACCCTTGTTCTTCCACTCATTTATTTAATGCTCACTTTACCCGCAACACGACCAGAAAATTTAATCTCTA